CATTCTCCGCTGGCCGGGCGGCAGCGCCGCAGAGGCGGTGGCCGGGCAGTGGCGCGGGGGGAGCCGATCCCGGGCAGGGCCGGAGCCTCCGCCGCGCTCCTGGGGGGGTTTCCCCGGCTCCAGCAATCCCTTTGGGGGGGCCTGTGCGGGGTCAAAGCGAGTGCGTGGCCGCCAGCCGGCCGGAGTGCCGCGTACTTTTTTTTTTTTTTTTTTTCCTTCCCTTGAATTTTCCTTTTACATAACGAGGTGGGAGGGGGCCTGGCAGCGGCAGAGCGGGGTCGGCAGTGTCCCATGTGCAGCCTGGGCAGGCAGGGAGGGACCTGATCGGGCACACGCTAAAATAAGTTACCGAGCAAAAATAAGTTGAGTAGTCATTTCACTGTTTGCAGCGTGCTCAGGATTTTAATATSTGCCTAGACTGGCACCCCTCCCTTCCCAGCTCTGAAACAGTTTGTGAGCTTGCCAGATTCTCTTCACCTGTTCTTCTTACCATGTTGGTTTTTTTTTCCTCTCCTCTGAATTTTTGTTGCTGCACCTCCGTGTCCAGGCCAAGGCCAGCTGTGCCAAATGTTGATTTGGAGAAAACTCAGGCAGCTGAGCTGTGAATACTTGAGGATTGGAACTAGAAACTGCTGACACACTGACTTACTGAAATGGATTTTGTTCTTCATTTTATTCTTTCACTCTTCATCTGCAATGGTCTTATGACCACTCTTATTGTTTTGTTTCATTAACAAGTGGTGTCAGAAGTCTTGAGTCATACAAGGTCAGCTGTAACACTCTGCTCTTGAGCGGGCTTCCTCTTCACRCTATTCTGAAATTAATTTTAGAGCATCTCCCCATACTAGTTCTCTCTGGGGTGAAGTATTTATGGTTAATTTTCTTAACAACGTATTTGAAAGCTATAGTGGAAGTTGTGGTGGTTACAGATACTTGCATGTAGTAAAATCCTTTTTGATCCCCCTCGGCAAGCTCAGTTGTGGAATTTCTGTAAAGATTCCTACAAGGATTCTTGTGTTCCCGGCTTGCACAGAACTTGAGCTGTTACATCTGCCAGACATCTGAGGCTCCAGGATGTGAGGGTAACAATGATTTTTAGTTACAGCAGTTAATTTCAACAACATCAGCAACAACAAAAACATTCTTTTTCAAGCTGGAGTTTTGCCCGCTCCAGTTGTTGAGGGACTCCCTGTCTCTGTGCTGACTCTGTGCCACCGTGGCTGCAGATGGAGCCTTAGGTGGGTCAGTGGTTGTGGGAGATGTAAGGCTTTCCAAAAGCTTCGGGAAGGAGGATGAGTCAGAGGAGCAGCGRGTGCAGGAGGAGGGATCCCTCTGCTCGCTCTGCAGCTGGAGTGTATTTGCTGATCAGGGCACAGTGTGCTCTCCCTGTCCCCGCTGGGGCTCCAGAGCTGCTCTTGGGTACTTAATGCCAGGGTCCTCGAAAGCAGCAGGCCTCTGGCCAGAGATTTTTAAAAAGGGAAAAACAAAGAGGAAGTTAAGTTGGTTCAGTGAGGGCTGTCCTGGGCTTTCAGCTCTGCTTGAATTGCTCTCCCAGTATTCACTTCAGAACCTTAAGGGCTAGAAGTAAACTTCAGAAGGAAAAAGGAAAGCTGAGTCTACAGCACAATCTCTGGTTTTATGAGTTGGAGCCCTCAGCAAGTACTTTATTTCTTGGCTCTCAAGCTCATACCACCTCTCCTGGGGACTCTGAAATACTCATTTGTCAGTGGGCAAAGATTTTCATTTGCTGGTGGCAGCAGAAGGGTGCTTGCAGGGATGCATTTCTTCCCAGTTTTGTCACCWTTTCAGTGCTAAAGAGCACGTGTAGGGAGCTGTTGGTCACTATCTTGAATTGCAGTGAGGAGATGTCACATTTTCTACCCTCCATCTTCCAACTAGACTTGCAGTTGTCCTTTTGGAAATACTTTTAATTTTCCTTCTCTCTTTTATTGAGATGGCATTTGGGAGGAGGGTGAGAAGGAGGACTGCTGGTGKTGCAGGCCCTGGAGCTGATGGAGATGATAGGAGTTGTTCACAGTGTGTATTCTGAACCTCCACAGATCTTGTCACAAAGGCAGTGGATCCTGCTGTCTTGAAGCATCCTGGGAATTAATTTTTTTCCTCCCTGTGACCTGGAAATAGTAGCTGATGAAATAGCTCTCCAGCTTGCCAGTGATCTTCAGTACAGTAGATTTTCCTGACATAGTAACTGTATTTTCTTTTGCTTTGTTATGTTATCTGTATGTCACTCAGTTATGTGAGAGTCAGACACGGCTGGTCCTTTCTGCTTAACCCTTCCCATTGTGGGTTCCAGCAAATAAATTTATGCTGCTTTACCTCAGAGACTAGATATTTTCCTATTTTAAMATGTCTGCATGAGGAAACTGGATATGTTTGGGGCTGACTACAATGACAAGTCTAACATTTCATGTTCTAATTCTTGCCTTTTGCTGTTTTTGGCTTCCTTCTAGGCTATGGAGAGCTAAATGGTAACGCAGGAGAACGAGAAGTGTCACTAAAGGGCCTGTGCTCTGATGAAGCCACCACCCCAGCATCCAGGGTACCCAATGGCAGCCAGCAGCTTGTAGATTCTAATGCCACCCCAAAGCAGCCTGTGAAGGCCAGTGCTTTGGGGAAAGCTGGAATCAAAACCAAGAACTTCATTCAGAAAAATAGCATGGACAAAAAGAATGAGAAGTCCTACGAAAACAAACACAGAGAAAACCAGTCCTCAGACAAGCCGGAGGGAGTGTCTATTCCAAACGGCGTGGTGACCAATAATTCCAGCTACATCACGAATGGCTACGTAGGCAAAGGGGCCGACAACGATGGTAGTGGCTCCGAGAGTGGATATACCACGCCCAAAAAACGGAAAGGCAGGCGCAACAGTGCCAAGGGTTGTGAGAGCTTGAATCTAGTACAGGATAAAATAATGCAGCAGGAGGTCAGCGCACCAACCTTGAAACAGGAACTTGAGAGTTTCAAGCCTGATTATAGTGAGCAAAAGGGGAACCGAATTGAAAATACTAAGCCTGTTTGGAAATACGAGGCTGGGGCTGGTGGAGCAGGCCGGGGAAAGCCTGGGCTCGGGGATGTACCGCGGAAAAACTCTGATGCCAAACCTGGGATTAGCAGCAAGAAGTTTGATGACCGGCCCAAAGGGAAGCATGCGTCGTCAGCTACATCTAAAGAGGACTCATGGACCTTATTTAAACCGCCCCCAGTTTTTCCAGTGGACAATAGCAGTGCTAAAATTGTTCCCAAAATTAGTTATGCAAGTAAAGTTAAAGAAAACCTCAACAAAGCAGCTCAAACCCCATCCACGTCGTCCTCGTCATCTTCGTCATCTGCTGGGGAAACTCAGGCCCAAACATCAAGTCGAYTGTCCCAAGTCCCCATGTCTGCTATGAAATCTGTCACTTCTGCCAGCTTCTCGAACGGGCCGATCCTGGCGGGGACCGATGGGAGTGTGTATTCCCCAGGGACCCAGCCACTGCTCTCATCTGCTGCTAGTACTGTACCATCGACCTCCTCCGAGTCAGCGCCCCAGGACATGAGTACAACTTCGACAGCCCTCGAACAAAAGAAATCTGGCCTTTTTATCTACCCTTCAAATATGCAAACTGTGCTCCTGGGTACAGGGCAAGTCGATTTCCCTTCGCAGACGAATCAGCAGAACCTGGGGGATATCTTCCAGAATCAGTGGGGCTTGTCTTTTATAAACGAGCCCAGTGCTGGACCTGAAACCGTWGTGGGGAAATCTGCAGATAATCAGTTAATGGAAGTGACATTTCAAGGGGAATATCCTGCCACTTTGGTTTCACAGTGTGCTGAAATCATTCCCTCAGGAACTGAACAACCTGTGTTTCCTAAGGCTTATGAGCTGGATAAACGGACTAGCCCTCAAATTCTTAGTGCTATTCTTAAGCCTGGGACTGCTGTTGAGGGTGGTGTCTTAGCTTTGGAGTCGCATCACACAGGTGACCTACAAAAGGCAGACACCGGTAGCCAAGGTGCTTTAGTGTTTCTTTCAAAAGACTATGAAGTAGAGAATCCTCTGGCCTCTCCCACGAACAATTTGCTAGCCTCCGCCAAAGAACAGAGGTACCAGAGAGGCCTAGAAAGGAAAGATAGCTGGGGTTCTTTTGACCTGAGGGCTGCTATTCTATATCACACTAAAGGTAATGGCTTAACTTGTTGCCTAAGGGCGTTTTCTTCTTTTTTTTTTTCTTTTATTTTTTTAAGTGCAATATTGTAACTGTGGTATGTTCCTATGTTCCTTCCAGCAATTCTAATTGTTTTAAAAATGACCTATTTTTTTTTTTTTTTTTGCTTGCATATCTCTCATGGCAATAAGGTTTGGGGAAGTTACTCAAAGGGTTGTTTAATTAACATTAAGAGGTATTTGTTTCCCTGTTCCCGTGGACAAGCATGAGTGAGGTTGGTAGGGACAATACTTAGCAGGTCCTCCTCGGCATTGGAAGGAGTTAAAGGTGTAAATTCAGCTGCTCTGTTCCAGCTGTACCAGGTGGTATTCTGTCACTGTGGAGGCTTCATAGTCTCTACTCACACCTCTGCCACCAAAGTGTTGCAGCTTCTCCCCTGGGCAGATCAGACCATGAAATTGTGGCTTTGAAGGAAGGAAAAATTATTCSTGCAGCTGTAGGTGTGATTTATTTTTTTTAAGTGTGCCCCACACACACTTTTTCCCTGCCCTTGAGTATTACAGCAAAAGCAAGACCAATCTTTTCTTATCAGCTCCTCTGTAAACTGCAGATTGAGTTCTCTCCTTGTCTTTGTAGGCCACATCTTTCAGATGATTTTATTTCTTTCATGGAGTCCTTTGTAGTCCAACTCCTTTTTTTTCCTGTTTTTTTTTTTTTTTTTTTCAATTTCCCCAATTGTCCCCAATGTTTCCCCAGGTTTTGTGTCAGCGGCTGCCCCCGGAGCAGCTTTGGGCGCTGCTTTTCTCCCTTTTGTTTTTTTTTTTTTTTTTTGAGATTGAAATGACTCAAACATTATACCAACACTCTAAAATGGGAACGAAGAGAGGGAAGCCTGTGGGATGGCTTGCTTTCTGCTTTAGCCTCAGCCCCAGAAGCTCTGGGGTCATGGGGCAGTTCTTGGCTTTTGGTGCTGGCTTGTGTTAAAGGGACCTGGTTGTGTGTTCCCTTTTGTCACAGTGTTATTTTTTCACTCTTGATCAACACACGGATAGTTCCTTTTTTTTGACCCCCTTCCCTCTCCCTGCATCCCTCTACTGTGAGGGGAACAAGGTGATCATCCTCTTTTTGTTAAGAATTGCACGTACTTATAGGAATAATGTCAAATTCCTCTATGCAGAGGGTTGGCTTTGGCAAATTTGCTGTATTTTGACCCTCTGCAAAGTTCTTAAATTACCTCTTCACAAAACTCCATATAGCATAAACTCGGATGCTTTCCTGTAGTAATAACAAGCCYAGTCATTTAAAAATAATAACTCCAAATATTTTTTCCAGGTCATCTCCCTCTCAAGACGTTARCATTTCAAGCTCTAGTCTTCTTGAGAACAGTGTTCATCAATTGATTTTATCTGGGTCCTCTCCCTTCTGCTCAGTTTATTCCAGCATTAAAGCAGGCTTTCTGTTCTCTTTTTTTTGTGTCTGCCTGCAGCCTAAATCCTTGCTTCCCATCAGAAAATGGGAGTATCAGAAAGCATAACATGGAAGAAAATCCTAGGTGATCTTTTTCTTAATTTTGCAAATACTCTCTAAAACTCTGCCTCTCTGTTTTTGTCAGCCTGAACTTGTAGAAAAGCAGCTGTGCTGCCAGCAAGGCTCATCAGCTCTTCAATTCTCACTTGCTGTGAAAGGCAGACCCCAGTGAAACAATAGGAACAACAGGAAAATAAAGAACACTCCCATCCCATGTCCTCTCAAGGAGGTGTTAACTTCAAAGCCTGGCTGCGTTGAGCTCTTCTAAACACAGGAGTTAATTACATTTGATGGCAAGAATGGCCACTTAAAGCACCCGTTAAAATACTGTTCTCTGCTCTGCTTCTGCATGTGAATGGTCTTGCTTTGAGCACCCAGAGCAAGCACCCTTATGATGGCCTGGGGATACCGAATCCTGCCCCAGCACTCATCTCTGCTGATTTCTTTTTCACTGCTGTRTTTGTGCCATCTTCAAGGTGTTACTTAGGGATAAAAGACGATGAATGTTTTCTAATCAGTGTTGTCATTAATGCAGTGATGGGTGCTCCAAACAGCTCGGGCTTGTCTTTCTCCTGTTTAGTCTTCAAAAGCTGTTGCTGTTTTACAAAGCAGGAGATTAGTCCGGGTCTTAGTACTTCCGTGATGATGGTGGGTGCTGGATTTGACCCTTGGGGTGAGTAGGGTTAAGGAGTATTTGGAGGAACGGTGCCTCCTATCCCCTCTTTATGKTTGTGAGCAGCCAGAGCTCACCTTGTGCTGTGAAATGCCTCCAAACCAGAGCTGCGGGGTGTGTTTGCAGGACAGCAGTGCGGGGGTTAATTCCCACACAGTTCTCTCCGTTTATCTTGGGCTGTTTTCCTGAAGTCCAACTCCAAGCCACTCAGTTCCTCTGCAGTAGGAAAAGAACGATTTCACTCAGTTCTGTATCACCAGCTGCCTTTTCCTCCTTGCTCGGAGAGCACGTGGGTTTGCCTGGGTCGGTGTTAGGGCATCCCGGCAATTGGGTCCTCAGACTGTTTGGTTTTGATTTTGMGAGTCGGGTGAACTTCTCCCTCTCKGATTGATCTGTTTGCTTTTGAGCAAAGTCTCGGCAGTTTGATCTTTGCATCTGCCCTACCCTTGRGGTTATGAACACAAAGAGAAGCGATCACGGGACAAGGACAGGGGTGAGTGTGGAGCACTGGAAGTGTCCTGGTGTGTTCCCTACCCTGGCTCCATGTGCAATAATTCAGTGCAAGGATGAAGCTCTGGGTGTTGCAGTGAAGAATGAGCTGTAGTCTGAGTGGTTGCAGTGCTTTTAGTGTCACAACTGAGCACCCTCTTCTGCAGTTTGTGCCTGTAACTGTGATCAGGTTATGTGGATCTTCTCTCATCCTGGACTGTAAATTGTTGTGGGAAAGCCTCCAGCTTACTCAAGAGCTGAGTTCCAGCAAGCCAGGCTTTCCTGTGCGTGCTTACCCAGCAACTGCACAGGACATTCTAAACTGTAATTGCTTCCCAGCTTCCYTGTAGAAAGATGGATGGAGGAGGTGGCTCACAGAGAGGACTGACTCTGCTACAGTGATCCTCTAACTCACCCAGTTTTTTCCCCAGAAGTCAGAGCACTGRGARCATTTAGACAGGGATGATGATGCACCCTCTTGTTCTTCTCTTGGAAGCTCTTCCTGTTGGTTTCCTTATACCCCTGCCTCATGCCTTGCCTCTTTCTTTTTTTCACCTCTGTTTAAAGGGCARAAAGAATCCCTCGATCATCTGATCTGCTTGAGTGTAAAACACGATCCTTCAATGTGGCTGCCTTCATTGACAGCCCGTGCCGCTCGCTGTTTGTGACGGTGCCTTGAAACACTCACAGGTGTCAGATCTGATTTTCCAAGGGAGATTGGATTTAGCTGRGCACTGGTGGGCTAGAGACAGCATGGATGGGCTTGGAGACAGGGATGGGCTTCATATGGGAGACTGCAAGGCCCAGGAAGGAGTGGTGCCCTTGCTTCGAGTCATTGCTCCCTGCCAAGGTTAGAGCTGAACTTCTGCCTTGCCAAAATCCTTATCTTTTTAAGGTAAAACCGATTCTTGAAGATATTTTGATCCTTCAGATAAARAGGTTGAGTGCATGTCAGCTTTATTTCCTTTGAAAACAACCTACTGCTTTAGTCCTTCTTTTAAAGACAGCTGGATGAAACGCTTCATATCRGAATAATTGTCAACGCTTTGGAGAATTTTGTCATATTCAGGCAGTTGCAGTCTTCCAGGCCAGGCTTGGCACTGACACTGGGCTCTAGATGGCAAGCTTTGTGGTGGGAAGCTCAATAATTTGCTTGTCCTGAGCTAAAAAGCAAATAATTGAGGCTTCCAGCTCAGCTGCACAGCAGTGAAGACCACATGGGTGGAGGAGAGGGAGTTGCAGGGTTTCCCTTGTGCTTGGCCCTGAGTTTCTGCCTGTGCTGCTGCTTTGTTCCTTCCCAGCATCTCAGTTGCAGCAGCATCTCTGCTCGCGTGAAGAAGCAGGAGAGCAGCAYGGAAAATAGAGCAAGGCAGCGTGGGCCAGCCAGGAGTGGCGTTCGCCGGAATGGTGAACTGGGTCAGAAGAAATAGCAGAGCTGTGAATTCAGCAATTTTCATCCTTTACATCAGGAGAGGGGAGAGAAAAAAAGCCTTGGTTTCCCATCCCCCCTGGGTAGGAAGGGGTTAGAGCTCGCTCTGTTGGTTATGGCCTTGTGGGGCAAAAGCTGATTTAATTCTCCTTCGAGTGCCTGCTCTTTCCAGTTGTCAGGCAGAGTACAATGTATGCTGTACAGCCCTGAGTCTCCACAGCATGGAATACTTATTCTTTGCTCCGTTTCCAGGGCAATCCCCATGCTTAATCATTGTCCTGCAGATACAAACAGAGAAAATCAGATGAGAATGGTCCCTTCTTGTTATTTCTTTAGTGTTGTRTTTTAGGGATAGTTTTGAGATTTGTAAGGACAAAGGAGTAGTAGCRTGGCATTGTGCAGACACTTCTGTTTGCAGGGACTGCCTCTCTGGCAAGGAAAATGTGTGTAAAAGTGCCTGTCTTAGCCAGTTACTACAGAAACACTTCTTTCCCCTCCAAGGTTATGTACCAGTCCTGCTGTAAAGTTTATTGACCTATGAGGAATCCCAGCACAATTCACTGGAGTGTGCCTTAGTCTGTTCCTGACATCAAAGCTTTCCTCCAGTGACCCTTTGTTTCAGTGATAGTCCCCAGAAAAAGTGGTTTAGGTTGATGTGGCTGGGACYGTTTGCCCCAGGCAGTTCCTCAGCAAACCACGAGCCAGCTAATTGTAAAAAATCCTGGAAAACGAGAGGTTGGAAGGGGCACAGGAGGTGACCTAGTTCTGCCCCTAGCTTGGAGCAGGGCTGGCTTTGATGCTGGGTTGTGCAAGGGTTTGTTGATGGCATTTTCTCCAGCTGGGTTGGAGTTCACTTGAGAAGAAAGTTTGCTTTTTGYCCAGGCAGATGTCTGGTGGCCTCTGTTGGGCAGGTCTTTGGGAGGCAGCAGTACTGGGGTTTGGGGCAGTGTCTGACAGACTGGACTYGGGCTGATGGTGAGGACAGCCCTTTTCTCGTGCAGGTTGAGCAACTTGAGGAGTCTTTTGCTTAAACTCACTCTGGAAGCTTTATCCAGGGAAAAGAGACTCAGGAAAAGAGCTTTTTGAGCCCAAGGAGGGAGGGCTGAAATCAGGCTTGCATGCCCAGTTCTTGGGGCTGTGTTTCCTCCTGCTTGACTGGAGGCAGGCATTGGGCAGCAGTGGCTCTGCTGAGCTACCTGTCCACCAGGTCAGTCCCCATGTCACCCTGTGATAGTGGCCATGGCACAGCACTTTTTGTCAGTCATAGGTGACCACAGCCTGGAACTGGGAGGAAAACTCACCACGTAAAGCAGAATAAATCTGAAATTCCATTTTAAAATTGACGAAAACCTTTTTTTCCTAGTTTGTGTTGCAGTTAGCCTGAGGCTTGTTCTTTCTGCTCTGTGAAGTTGTTTCAGTTGGTCAGTGTGCTTAACCTGTGCTGTCCCCTGTCCCTGTGCTTCCAGGTGGAGGGGAGGACCTTGTTCTGCTGATGGCAGGTGATATTTAGTAAGAGCTGTTATTGCATTGTTTGCTGATGGTTTTTGGTTTTGTCAGGCTGAGCATCTGCCAGCCGGTGTGTCCACATGTCTGGGATTCACAGGACACACTTCACACCACCCTCCTGAAGGAAGAAGGGAAATTGAAATCTGTAAATGTTTAGATTTGTTAGATTTTTTTTTTTGAAACAGCATTTTGTCAACTTAGTTTTTTGGTGTGTTCTTAACAGTATCTCTGTTTGTCTTATTGTCAGATACTCTTAATACCAGGAGTTCACATTCTTGCGGACTCCAGGGAAGTTAAGGCCAAACAAAGTGCACAAGACAGCGTGGTCTGTGCATGGGGATACAGTGGTGGGTGGTGCTTCATCTCTGCTTTGTATTCGATGCTCAAATATTGCTTTAATGTGCAGGAACCAACAACTCGAGCGTAGTTTTCTGCCCCTGCCTTTGGGGAAAGCTGTTAAAATAGGAGATGTTCTTTAGCTGTTAGGAAACGATGCATCAAACGGCGCTGAATGGAAAACTCGCTCCACGGGAGGTAATTTTAGTAGCTGGTTCATTTTACTTCAGGGGAATCTGCATCTGGCAGATGAGGGAGGCAGTCCCTTGCCAGCCTGCTTCTATCCCTGGGGGTGTTAGAGGCTGGCTACTATTCCCAAAGCACTTAAGGTTCCCCAATAGAAGTGCAAAGTGTTGCTGTTACTATCCTGACGCAAAAATAACAGACCTCGTAAAATTTTGTTCAGGGGCTTCCTTACAAAAGGCTTAATTGTGCRGGGAGGGTTGGCAATATTTATTTGCATGCAATTTCCTGCCCCGGGGAGCTGGAGATTGTAGCGGACAAAGGACAGATGAAGGGCTGGAGAAGGGAGGCAATTGATGGAGGTGACACTTGGCACACATCGTGCTGAGGCCATGGGTTCTGTAGGGTTTTTTCTTCTTCCTTTCCCATGCTGGTTGGTTTACTTACTGCCTTGTTTTGTGCTTTACTGCACATCCCATGTAGCTTGATAATCCCTTGCCATTCTCCTTTTCTAGCCCTTACAAGGTCCTGACACGTGTCTGGCAGCAAAGAGACTTGAAAAGTGGTTCTTGCAGGTTGTGTTCCAGCTAAATGCTCCTATAATTTTGTCTATTGAACTTGGATATTGCACAGRGTACAGTCAGTGTCTTTATAAATATTCTAGCTCACCAAATTCCATCTTGAGAGCAGCTACAATAAGTTATTTTGAACGGTTCTCTAAAGATGTGGCTTTATTCGAGGATATTTTAAAGGCAAGAGCCTTCTGTTTCTCGACATGAATGAAAAGAGCATTTARCTTTGCTGTTATTTCCTAGGCAAACAAAAGCATGTGCTTGTCCGGGGAGAACTGGGGAGGGTTTGTAGAGGTAAACTGGGGAAAGARCTGTGAGCCAGGTGTGTGGAGCATCACACCTTGCTGCTGGACAGGGTTTTGGCAGCAGCTCAGCAGAGATGTTCACACAGCAAGCCTTGTGCTTCAGCACACACACACTGTGAACCACGTGCAGCTCGCTGTGTCCAGCAGTTCTCATTTCACACACACTAAACATCAACTTGTAAAAATCATCTCTCCAGGCTCCTTGTTGAGGCTGTAACTTGCAAAGCAGCATTGGAGTCAGAGTAGTAAAGCCTGAAGTTAGATTGTGATATGTAGGACTGGTGAATGGTGATGACATTTCTGATGCTCAGCTTGGCTCTCTGACCCTTAAGACCATGTTACAGCCATCCCTTTGCCTTTTATTGCTGGCTTATTCATGTCAAATTCACAAAGTCCTGTGGCTGTGCTGCTGGGTGGGATGGGGTTGGCCATATCTGAAAGCCTCCACAACCTCCAACAGTCAAAAAATTAAAGWGTGTTTGGAGTGGTCTCTAATGGCAGCATCAATCTGCATAATAACAGTGATCTCCTTTTGCCTCCACAGAAATGGAAGCGGTTTGGAATTTGCAGAAGCAAGGTAAGGAWGTTGGAAAGAATAAATGAATCAAATTGCTCTGTGTGTTGGGGTGGGGATGACTGAGAGTGGATTGTCTCTGTGTCTGGAGATGCCTGGGTTCAGTTCTTCAGCGCCTGCAGTTTGTAGTCTGGATTTATCTCTGTTTCAGATCACTGAAAGTCAGGACAATAAGCTTAGCTATAATGGTGAGCTGTTTGTAGAGAAGCAGAGTCTGTAAAAGAGCAATAAACCCAGTGTCAAATTAGATTTAATGACTCTTCCCTATGTGTACACAAAATTGCTTTCTATTTCTGGTGTTGGGTGTCACATGCAATAATAAGTTTTAAATTCTGATGTATCCCCACAAGCCACCTGAGAAGAGGTTCTGTGTGGGAAGAGCCTTAATGTGGAGCCTCATRTGCTGCTGTGGGGAGCAGGTTCTGCTCTGGGGGAGCCTGGGCTCGGGGTACCTTGGCAGAAGTGGGGAATCCAAAGGAAAAGTCTGTTAACAGCCAAATACCTYGTGTTTATTTTCAGCCACAGGGCCTGAAAGTAGCTTTTTCAAAACTTAGAATTCTGCTTTCTTTCCAGATCCCAAAAGGATAATCACTTATGATGAAGCCATGGATCGCCCGGATCAATGAAGGTAGCAAGACAAGACTGCCTGTTATAACCTTTCTGCAGCATTTGTGCTGTTCCTGGGGGACAAAAAGGCTTTTATGCTCCTTCTAAATCTTCAGTGCAGCAGAGGAACCATAACTAGAATCACAGGATAATATATACAAATATATATATAGTTATTTAAAAATGGCAACTGAAAGTAATTAGACTTCTTAAGGAATCTGAAAATTTATTTCAACGAGACTACACACGTGATTATTTAATCTCCGGTACTGAATAGATTTTTTTTTTTCATTTTTGTTTTGTTTTGTTTTTGTTTAAAGAGTGAATGCAAGTGATTAAGGAATACAGACTCAATTACAAGCCCAGTTTCAAAGTTCCTGCTGTCGTCTACAAGGGCAACAGCAACCCACTGGAGAGGCATTTCCACTTGACAAGGTTTCTGTTTCTTGTTCTGTGACTGTAGTGACACACTAATCACAGGGAAATCAGGATGAATCACCATCCTTCATCTCCCCTTTCCCTTCCACCTCCCCTGTTTGGTTTCTTTTTTTTTTTTTTTTTTCTGGTTTTTTTTCCATTGAATGCTGGAGAAACGCCTTGAAGTTTTGCAGAGTTTCTTTTTTTTTTCCAGAGAATTTATAATCCGCATGTTTTGCCAGGAGTAAAGCAGCAATCCTATGCTGGTGATAATGTCTTAAAAAGGATCATTCTGCTGAGGGAAAGATGGTAATACTGCAGTTCTAGGATGCATGGTGAAGTCACACAGTTGACCTGGCTCCTGTTACACGTTGGACTATTGCAACTGAAGAGTTCTTTCATTTTAAAAGACAACATGGAAAAATAAGCAATCTGTTTAGGCATTTAATATGGAAAAACAAAACAACAAAAAACTCACTGTTCCCACAGTTTAATGCCATTGTATTACTGGGAGCAAGGAAAAAAAAAAAAGACAAAAAAAAGTATCTTCTGCTTTCAACTGTAGGTGCTTCATATTTGCTCTGTCTGTCTCCTAACACTAAATGTGCTGGATTTTTTTCCCATTTTCATTGGAAAACTGAAGAGGAATTGAGTTCTGCTAACTTTCACCCTTCTTGGAATTATTTTTTCTCTTAAAAAAAATTCAAAACAACAAAAAAAAGGAAAAAAAAGTTAAAAAAAAAGAAAAAAAAATGGGAATTTGAATCCTTTTCAATTTGTCCATAGAACGCCAATGGCTGGGCTTCCTGCCCCTTGGAAATGCTCTTTTATATTTTAATGCAGTCTGTGTATTTCCGGGCTCTGCTTCTAATTATCTCTTAATAAAAATATATTTTATTACAAAAAAAATGGAGGACTTAGGAATGAAAATAATAATTTTAAAAAATAATAAAAAAAAATTTATCCCAGGGAAAGGAAAGCTTCCTAGCAGAGGTAGGGAAGGCTGAGCAGAGTGCAGGCTCCAGCTGTGTAACCCCTCTGTCCCATTGCAGCTTGTGTAACGTGTCCAAATCATCTGGGGGTTKGGATAGTTTTTCTGGGTTTTTTTAAAAGGTGCAACATTCACAGGGTCCAGTGCAAGAGTGAGAAATTAATAAAGCAGAAATGGGTTTGATCAGCTCCAGCTCCCCATGTGCCCAGCGCTTATCAGGGGTGTATGTGGCCTAATCCTGGCTCTCTGGTATCCAGGTCAGCAGCAGTTGGTGTCTCCTAAAAAGAGGCTGGACCCTTTGGGGCATTACAAGGAGCAGATAAACCCTAAACTTTGGAATACCCTTTGTGCTTTGATGTGTCCATCAAGACATAGGGCCRGTGTCCGGTCACCAGTGGGGTCCACAGGGCTCCATCCTCAGCCCAGTTCTCTTCAACATCTCATTACCAAACTGGGTGCAGGACTTGAAGAGACACTGAGTTTGCTGACACTAAACTGGGAGGAATTGTCCACTCCCTCGAGGGCAGAGGGGCCTCAGCAAGTTAGAGATGGGCAATCACCAACTGTATGGAGTTTACAAGGGAGAGTGTCCMATTCTGCACCTGGGATGGGGCAGCCCTGCATAGACTGGGGAATTGGGCACCACAGTGGAAAAAGACCCCTATTAGAGAGCATCCACAGGAGGCCATGAGGATGGGGAAGGTCTGAGGGGAAGCCTTGTGAGATCACTCAGTTGTTCAGCTGGAGGAGACTGCGGGGGGACCTCATTGTGGTCTTCAGCATCCTCCCAAGGCAGCAGAGGGGCAGGTTCCAATCTCTTCACTCATGCCCAGTGACAGGACTCCAGGGTTTGGAGAACTCCTGAAGCTGAGTCAGAGGAGGATTAGGTTTGGAAGCAGGAAAAGGTTCTTCACCCAGAGGGTGGTTGAGGATGGGCACAGGCTCCCCAGGGAAGTGGTCACAGCACCAAACTTGTCTGAGTTGCAGAAGAGTTTGGACAATGCTTTCATCACCTGGTGGGATTCTTGGGGTGTCCTCCACAGGGCCAGCAGTTGGATCCTGATGGATCTCTTCCAACTCAGCATATTCTGTAATTCTATCACTTTTTTTTTTTTTTTTTGTTAATTAGGAGTATGTAGCATGTGGGGTTTTTTTTAAATCGTTTTTATACTTTTAAAAAGATTGTTCCTGAATGAGACGCTTGAGTTCATGGTGGGACAATGAAACTGAATTCTGTACCTTGTGTAAGACGCTAGCTTTTCTGCCATGCTTGAAACATTTGACTATGGATTGCCTACTCCATTCGATGTATCCAAAGCTATATAGTATAATTCTGAGCGTGATACTATATAGTCCTCATGTATTGTATCAGTCCAGGTTCGGAAATGTGTGGTTGGCCAGTCGCAAATAGTTCTGTTTCACCTATAAACTGTACCACCTCTGCAGGTGTGTGTGACTTTRAGATGTATAACATGTTTACAGATGTGCCCAACATCTAGTCCTCCGACGTTCCTATTTTTAATTCTGTTGAGTCTCCCAACTGCTTGCCAAAAGTCGGAATCGCCTCCAGCTCTGCTGCCCAAGAGCTGGGGCTTTCCTGAGCTTTAAAGTGTTGAACAAACTGGATGGTGGGGCTGGGAAAATGAAGGTGGAAGAAATGTTTTTTTCCTTTTTATTATTATTATAATTATTATTATTATTATTATTTTCAAAAAATTGAAGGCTAATAGCAAAGTTTCCAGTTTGTTTTACTGGCTTTAAGGCTCTGCTGTGTATTTATTTGCCTTGTGTAGTCACTTGTCGCCTTAAGGGCTGGGTTCGATTAGAAAAAGATGGAAAAGACAGAAAAGACAAGAAAAAGACAGAAAAGACAAGAAAAGAAAAAAAAAAAAAAAAAAAAAAAAAAAAAAAAAAAAAAAAAAAAGAAAAAAAAAAGACAAGAACACCCTGTTTTGCTTCCCTGGGGTTTGTGCTGTCCTATATCCCTGCCCCAGGTCTGTGCTTGGGGCGATGCAGGAGCTGAGCAGCACTAACCCTGCGCCTCTAGAAAGGTCTGAGTCTTGCTGAATATTTGAGGACTCTCATCTTTGCCTAGTCCTGTCTGTCACCTAAATAGCAAAAGAAATGCTGAGAGAAACACAGTTYGAGGATGGGTTGGGCTGGATTTCCCCTGACGCTCATCCCTGTGGCTTTGCCTCGCCAGCAGGACCCATCCAGAAACGCCCTCGGCAGCACCTTCTCTGCTGTATTTCTGACCATCCTCTGTGGGATGTCTGTCTGTCTGTCTGTCTGTCTGTCTGTCTCCATGAGCTCCACGGTGTGTGCTCAGCGCTAAGCAGTTAGGAATTCCTCTCTCTGAGCTCCTGTAGCTCCGGCTCCCCAGTTTTTCTGGGATAGACAATTGCCTAGAGCCAGGCAGGACCATGGAAGGAACTTCCTCGTGCTGTCGTGTAACTCACCCTGTCGCTGTCTGCAGTCCTCCCCAAGTCCTCACACAATTCTTAACTGAGCACTTATTAAAAATATCTTAAGATTTAATCTGTTTTCTGATTATTTTTGTGTAAACCTATTAAAAAAAAAAAAGCAAAAAAAAAACCAAACTGAAATTGAGCTGTGACTAATTTAGCACATTGAAATAACGATAAGGTGTTACTGATAAGTCTCATGTTTTGTTYTGTTTTTTTGTTTGACTCAGAGTATTAGTACTGTAGCATAAACCAAATACAGCCYGGGAAGGGGAGCAGCAGCCTCCTGTCCTGGGTGTGCACCCGAGGGTGTCCRCGGGGGCGAGCATCTGGCTTGTGAGGAGAGCGAGCGTGTATTTATTTGTGCCATTGTTTTCATTACACTGAGTAAAGAAAGTTTTAAAACAAAACCCCTTTAAGTACGTGTAGTATCGGAAAGCGGCACTAAGGGTGAGATCGTGACCTATTTTTTTATTAGCTATGAAGATACTAATTCAGGTTAAGGCTTCTTTCTCGTTTCTGTTCCTGTTGTGAGTCCCTATCCAAGCTGTCTGTTGGAGTGAGGATTCCTGCACAGGCAGGGACTGTCTCCTTTCTCCTCTGGTCATTCCCCACTTCTCCTCCTCTGCCAGCAGGTTCTTCTGGGTGTCTGTTGTACAGGGTTTTGTGGCACAGAGGTTGGAGTGTGTAGATTGGGATCTGAGTGTTCTTTGGATCATGGAGTATTCTTCTCCAAGAAGTGATTTAACAACTGCCCCATGACCGTGGTTTGGGGCCTTCAGTCTCTGCCCTCTCCTGCTCCACCCATCTGGTGGATTGGTAAAAAAATTACTTTCAAGCTTCACTTGGAGTTTGGTTTTGGTTTAAACCCAGCTCGATCCTCTGTAACCTGTTAGAAATCTYCCGTCTCTTTGACCAGGGCACGGACTCTGTCACTAACCCGCTTCAAACCTTCCTGAGCTAGTTCACTTTTTGCTTTCATAGCTGCTCTGAACTTCTTTAAAATGTGGAAAGAAACCCAATTCTTGCTAGGTTGTGAGTCTGGCAGCTGGGAGCAGGTGATGGGTGAACCAGCCAGCTAAATGGGAGACAAGACTGCTTCCTCCTAGGAGAACAATAGGAGAAAAGAGAGCTGGAAGCTGTCCTTCCAGTTGTGTGTTTAGTTAGTGCTTTCACCTTCAAGTGAGCGTTACGGTAGCACCACAGCATCCTTTCCCAAGTGGCCAGTGGGTGACCTCAGGGACATCGGAGTGATGGCACTCMCAGCTGTGTGCCACAACTGCCGGTGGTTTTCCTGCGTGTCCAGTTTTTGACCTTGATCCAGTAAATTGCTGTGGTGTCCCAAGCTTTTAGGAGTCTTACCTTCTCATCCCTAGGTGATTTTTCTGTCCATCCATCCATCCATTGTGATTTGTTTTTGTTACAGAGGCTGTTTACAAGGGAGCTGGTTGAGGTCAGGAGGGGAGAGAACGAGGATTCACCCACTTTAAAGCTGCTGCACGTTTCCACACCGGGGTGTAAGGCAGGAGAAGGGCTCGTGTGGTGGAGCAGTTAAAAGAGCCAGAGCAGTTCTAGCTTTGGCCACCACCAGAGTGATTTTCTGCGTGGTAAAACCCTGATGGAAGCAGTTGGGAAGCAGAAAGCTGGGCTGGTGGGAAGGAGATCTCGATGTGCTGCCTGCCAGGGATTACAGAGCTTTCGAGGTTTGCCCAGTACACCCCAGGCTCAGGCTGATTTCTCTGTCCTGCCCAACATCCTCCATCCAAGGTGGCATCACTCAGCCACAGGAGAGCAGAGCTGTGGGTGCCTGGGGAGGTGAAGGAGCCCTGTGGTGGCCTCGTGTCCTGGGCGTGGGACTGGAGCAGGAGTCCTGCCTGTGCCCTCACTGGGGATGCTGAGCTGGGTTTGTCTCRACTGCTGATCAGCAAGCTCCGTATGAACATGCCCAGAGCTCTAAAGCCATTTTGTAAGATAGCAGTGTCCCTTTTCTACAGCCTTATTAATGAGTAGAGTATCTTTAAAAAGAAGAAAACAAAAAAAAAAAAAAAAAAACCGCTCATTTCTTTCTGTGGTATGAAACTTGTGTACTGCAAACTTCTGAACGTTTAGCAAAAACACAACTTACAGTTTTCTTAAAAAACAACAAAAAAACCCACAAAAACAAACAAAAAAACCACCCCCAACCTGTCTGCTTTCCATACAGTCTTTCCTCAGGTGCTAAATAAGGGTTCCAAAAAACAGATACTGCTTTAGGAGTTTCTGCTTTATTCTCAAAATACATATTTTTTTGCTTAGGTGTTGTAAAGATATTTTAACAAGAATGGTTTTTTTAATGTAAATAAGATTGTGTCTAATTTTTGTTTTATCTCTTTTTTTGTCCTTATGGAATAGTCTAATTTTCATTTTTATCCTTTTGAGAAGGACCCTCTTACGCCCTTCCCCGAAGACATTTCATTAAGTGTTGCTGCATTTAAGAACGAATCTACAACTGTTCATTGTCTTGGATTAATGCTGATGCTGCTGCTATAAGTAACCCTGAAAATCAAGAATGTGTGATGCACTTTTGTTTTTCGTTTTCGTCGTTTTGTTTTGTTTTTTTTTTTTAACATGACCGTGTCTTTCCTCTGCGCATAGTTGAACCCTCCTGTAACACAGCCACTAACTGGGGGAGCGTAGGACGTGGGGGAACCAGGGTGTAGGACAGTGGTGGACCTGATTTTGGTGCTGACCTACGGGAATTTCTATGCAAACGCAAGCAAAGGAGAACTCTTTTAACTTGAGAGAACACTGTGCATTTTTATTTTTTTATTATTTTTTTGTTTTTCTCTCCTTCCTTTTCTCAAGCTGCTATTGGAAGGGTAGTGCAAATCCCTGAGGTTTTCAGCTTCTCCTTCCTCCGTGGCTGGTGGTGTGGGAAAGGTGCCTGAGTAACTTGTAAGGTAGAAAAAACCTCAGCCAGCTCTTGTCTCGTCTCCGGTTTTAATATATTTGTTTTCTATTTGAATTTATCTATAGAAGGAAATTGCTCATCTCTACAAAAAGATCTTTTGAATGCTTTTGTCTCAATGTGAAGTTAACCAGCAGTATTAAGGATTGTGTGGCCTCCGTCCTGCCCTTACCCCAGTGCAGGGGACCCACYGGCTCCTTCTCCAGCTGGGGAATGYTYGGTGCCTGGAGTTGGATGTTTTCCAAGAAAAAAGCCAGGTGAAGCCATCCACCCAGCCAAAACCTGCAGGKGGAAGGCTTAGGGAGCAGTGGAGGGAGTTCTCGCTGCACTTGCAGGTCCAGAACCTCTTCTCTTTGTGGGTCAYGCCTGGACCGTGGTGGGGGATGTGTACCCTGGAGGGGGAGTTTACTGGAGGGGAAAAAGGGAATTTACTTGACTATTTATAGAAGATCCTTTAGGAATATAAAGTACCTCTCTGCAAAGTGAGGGAAGAGTAAGGAAGGTCTAAAGTCGTGTAGGAAAAACACTTGGGGATTACAACTGCCTGGAAAATAGTCTACAAATGCATAGGCCAGAGCYCTCTGCCTGTTTAGTTAGTTTATTCAGCAACAATTTCTTTCTTTTTTGGTCAGCGTTTGCTCTTTTTACACACCCAGGTGCGTGTGTACATCTGACTCAATGTGCCTTGCATGTGTGCTTAGTCTTTCTGGRGAGAGGTGGTGGGGTGTGAGCTGGGATCGTGGCCGGGAGGGTCACTCCCCATCCACAGTCGAGGGTTCCTCAGTGTCCCAGTGACCCTTGGGATCTACACAAGGCCTGGATTCCAGCCTGTCTTCATTTGGGGATGATGTCCTGTGCAGTGGCAACTGTGACTTCAGAGGGGAGCGGGAGGGAGGGAGATAAAAGCTGCTTCGCTCTTCTCCTGCGGACAAAAATCAGCATTGCCACGGTTTGCCTGCAGAGCCAAAACAAGCCAAGGTTTGGAACTGGCTTTGCTGGAGTTCAGGCTCTGTGTGGCACCGTGATCCCATTATCCAGGGGATTTAGTCCCTGCCGGGTTGTGGTTCTTGTTTCTGTGGGGTTTAGGAGTTGTTGTTTTTTTTTTGTAAAGGAGAAATYAACGCGCCTTGCTTGAAGTTAGCGAAATCCAAACGCTTGTGTTTGCAGTCAGTGACTCAGAACTCCAAACTGTGCAATTCTGGGTTCTCCATCTCCCGCCCCAGCGTGTGGTGATTCTGTCCGAGTCTTTCTGTACTTCTGCCACAGTAAATGTGAAAGCTTGCTTGCATTATTTTTTAGAAATGCATTTTGCACACTCGGGTTTCACTGAAGCTCCGTGAAAAGGTTAGTTTGAAGCAGATGAATAAAGCTATGCACATGTTTTGAAAGTTTAATTTGTGTCTCATTACCAGAAGTGAC